CCGAACTTTAATGAAACTTGTTAGTTGTAAGTGTAATGGATTTACATGGTCTGGGATAATGCCGCCCACTCCCAGAGAGAAGGAAGATTGGAGCCCTCGACCAAAGCCTTTGGCTCAAAAGCCTGACCGCAAGACGGTGGCCTTTGGTGGAAAATGCACGAGCATTAATAGTTCTGTAGAATAAGTTATCGTACCTGTTTTAATCTCCAACCTGGATAGCCTGGAGACTGTGTTGATCAGACCTCCAGCCATTGACCAACCTGCTATGAAAGACTGAGTGTCGCAGTGACACCACCCAGTATAGCTCAATGGATCGCAGAGGCACACAAACCGTTACACCACGGTAAAGTCTGGTCTCTCATTTAGCTGTAACCACTACTGGGTGCGGAGGTGTCGTGCAACCCAACGGGATTACGAGGATTAATTCACCTAAACCAAAACACCTGAAAAGTCAGGAATGGATTCGAGTTGCGAGTGTTTCACTCAGGATCGTGCGCTAGTCAGTTCGGTTGGCTCCTGAAACATTGCATTAAAATTACGGCCGGTTAGCTAACCATGAACAGCGGCTCTTCAATCAGTGAGACTCCTTTGTGGCTAGTGGCCCAGATTTACACATGAGCAAGATGAGCTTAAACGCGGTTGGGCTCTAAATGACTCAGCAGCAACGCGAAACTACTGCCCGGAAGGTCCTTGGGTTGAACCCAACTAGGACTTTTTGATAGCTTCTTTCTAGACTTCTGAAACCCTGCAGTATCCCAGCTCTTGTACCTACTACGACTATTCTGAGAGCCGTGCACCTAAAGGGTTCTGGTGCCAAACAGTTTTATCGAACGCAGTTGCTAAGACAGTATGGTTTCTTCAGAGTATCCCCATTCACGGAATTTGCTGCATCTGCACTGATTTCAGTGTGCTGCTCATCTTGCTAATTTTCGGGGCTTTATTTTGTGTCAGTACATTTGATCGCAGGCAATAAGTTGGATGTCGTGACTAGTTCATTGAACTGAACAGAAGAGTAGACTCAACACACAACTGAAGCTTGCATCCAGCCCATCGAACACGGCTATTTTGGGATTCAACGCCGTGTGTGGAAGTAAAGATTCAGTGAACACTATGGAAGTCAGCCTTTATCTGAGCGAAGCGGGAGTAGGGGCGACGTTCGTACTATGTCCTTGCCGGCAGGTTTGTCGAACACAAACTGTGCGCCCTTGTCAGACGTGGCGAGTTCCAATACAGCCTTGACAGAATACACCAGAATTGACCATATGGACAGGGTACATCGCTCTGACAGCGGCGCAGCTGCTACAAGTATGATTTATTACAGTGAATCCCATTGTTTCAACTGGTTTTTACGCAAATTCTCTTGTCGAACTACCCATACAACAGCAGTTCAGGCTGTTCCCCATTATTGTTTCCTAATGTAGACCGCAGAGTGATGACCGAAGCTCTGGTTAACCTAGGTGTTTGGAAATGCCACAGTTGTGTGAAGGTTTGAATTTCAACAACGGTTTATTATTGTCACACCGTTCACGACTCTGCGTCAGCGTGACATCTATTTATAGCTATTGACGTGTTGTTTGCGAATTTAACCTCTAAGTACTCTTCCAGGACACTAGCCGAATAATGTATCTTGTCACAGCCGCCGTGAACGAACACACGGATAGTATAGGTAGTATGTGGGCGTCGGGGTTATCGAAGTTATTTGTAGAACTGAAGGAATGTGAAGCCTGAGAACGGTGCTTAACGGATGCAATTGGACTGTCTATAAATTAGTTTCGCCGGCGTTAACTTATTGATGACTTATTGCACTGAGCTACTATCCTGAAAGGCAAACGAGCTGCGGTTCTGAAGGAGGGAAATCAAAATACCTTCCGAAACGCCAAACATCGAATAGACCTCCTGGGTGACCCTCGTCAACCTGATGTGTACTTAAGCCCTTGAGAATAAGGCCGATGATAGTATATGTGCACGTAGACAAGTGGAACTGTCTTGTCAACTAGCAGGACTCGACAACCCGTGACAGTGATTTCACCAGGCATTCAACTTGTATTGAACGGAAATTTGAAAGTTAACTTTTCTGGAGGAACATCTTCTGCTAATCCGGATACACGAACACTCAAAGTTTTGAGCACATGGGTGACGAGTGCTCAAAGTACGTGACACTTTCCGGATATCCTGGGCCTCTTTTGCAACTGTGCAGTAGGGCTTGTTTAACCGGAGCCATCAACACGTTCACTCCTCTGTTGATAAAAATAACTGATTCGGTGCCTTCGCTACTCGCACCCCACCTTTATCTATCACAGTTCTTCCTTTTGGGTTTTCGTTATCTGCATAACATCAACGTCCCCACTTTCCTCTATGTTTCACGTTCTTTCTTCAATCATGCGAGTAAATTTTTCATTGGGTATGAATTTCGTAAAATAGATAGCTCCTTATTGATTCGCTCATTCTCTCCATCTCGATTCGTTTTTTGCGGGGCAAGGTTGCAAAGTGTAGCAGGTTAGTGAAACCTGAAAAGCGGAAAAATGAAAACATCCGCGTGATCAGCCAGAGTTCGTCCTCCTTTCCCGAGCCATGTTTGTTGCCGAAGAACCAGATGAATCTAATCACTTGCAAATTCAGTTGGTAAGCTGAACACCTATCGTTCGACTAGTCGCATCCTCCGTTTCCATGGTGTCCTGCCTGATAAATTTGTGCAAACCGGATCCCATTCTTGGTTTATGAGGTTTGCACTATTGATGCTCTTTTGAGAAATAACTTGCTATGGTACACTCAAACCATTAATCTGTCTGAAGTTAACACGCGTGTTTCGTCTGTTGTCTTAACTCAAATTCCATCAAATCACCTGTTTATTGTTCATCTTGTCTGGTTCTTATCAAACGAACTTTGGGTCTTTCGTCACATTTTGGGGGTGGGTTTCCCAAACTTTTGTAACTTTTATCAGTTGGTTGTGTCTTAGGTTCATCGGTGTGATATGTATCCCCATTGGTACTGGCTTGAACAGTTTATCATGCCTCACGTGGACATCTCGAATTCTTCTGATTCTACACATACACCGTTGATGTTTTTTGCTTCGGTCAGCTGGAGCCCAGGTGCATAACATGGGTATCCTTGTTTATCTTGGTCTACCATAGGTGAATGGTGATGATTCACCTGTGCGCCAGCGGACTGATCTGTTTTAATGAAAAACAAGTCTATCTCCAGTCCTTATAACCAATCCTTTAACTGGTACCCACTTTTCGTTTCATTTCCACCAGCCCTTGCGTCTTTGACCTGACATAATGGATGCGTATCTAATATGGAACATAGTGTGGAAAAGTCATGTTCGAGATGCATATTTTGTCACCGAACATAGTGGCTAGGGCAGTAGTCGGGTTTCCACAAGTTTTACATTTGCTCGCTTCCCCTAACAGCAGTCTGTTTCGAGGGGCGGTGGTGATTCGTTGAAATTTTGGGGCCACTCGGATTCACTTGTGTGCCTTCGTCAGCAGAAATGAGGCTCTGGTTGTAGAGAGGAAAACCGTTCAGCTGTGGCACGCCTTCGGAGTCTAACTGCGGAAGGAATCACGAGAGACGGAATGCTGCCAGGTTGTCCAAGCCTAGACAGGGAAAGTCGAGATGCAGAGGCCGGGTTCGGGCCACAGACCTTCCAGTTGGTAGATTCGCGCCCCAATCACCTGAACCACTCCGATCCTTCTGTTGTAGAGAGGTGTCTTTTGGAGAGCCACTATTCTTTCTCGAATACACCACCCGGTTTGTTTTTTTCTCTAAACTTAGCACTATGTATGTTCCCGTGTGTCTCTGAGGTGAACTCTCTAAAGAAGTGTTACGGTTTTTCGTTATGCATGGTAATTTAGTATCGGTTGTCCCTACGTCGCTGTCCGATTTGCCTTTGAACGCTCACGAGGACTAATAAGACCAAAATTCGGTTTTAACCATTTCAGTCGAAATCTTTAAGGGCACTGTATCACTGACACTCGACAATTAAATGATACATTCACATCAGTACACCTTTCGAGTAAAAAATCAACCGTTGAATCAACAGGCGAAATGGGGGCTGAAAAATTCTAAGACTCAGGACGAAAGATCTAGTGACTATCGCAAACCGCCTGACGTTGAATGGGTTCCGATTCGGCCCCCCGCGCAAGGCAAAAGAAATCCCATCCTCAGTTGTGGATACTGTTTACGTGTGCAACACCCGTTAGCCACAACCTGCTCCAAATATCATCATCATCATCATCGGTTGGGCGAAAGAGCACTTCGAGGAAGTCGGTCGACTGGCATACGCAACACGTGGCCAAGCCAGCGCAACCTATGCAGTGTGATCAGTTTCTCTATCGAGGGTGAGTTATTTCTCCCGAATACCATTCGACGTACTTCAGCATTGCTGATCCGGTGTTCCCACCAGATTCGGGCAATGCTCCGAAGA